CCTGGGTATACATGGCCCCTGGGAGGCATACTAATGGCGCACCGTAGCCTATACTAATGGCGCACCAGTGATGCGCCATTAGTATACCAGATACTAATGGCGCACCACTGGTGCGCCATTAGTAAAAATTACTAATGGCGTGCTAGTAATGGCGCACCAGTGATGCGCCATTAATGGCCAAATTAGGTGCGCCATTAGTAGCGGTTTTTCTAGTAGTGTGCCATTTTGAACATTCCTATCAGGCAAGGGGGAGGTGAGGACTCATTTGCGTGGGCATTCGAGAAATCAGGCAACTACACGGTGAAGACAGCGTACCGTGCTCTAATGACTCATAAAGAGCGCTTGGCTCTGGAGGAAGGGACGGATACCAGAACCTCAGTGGACGATCATCAGTTGTGGAAGGCCTTGTGGAAATTGAATGTCATACCGAAAGTGAGGGTTTTCTGGTGGAGAGTTCTTCGTGGGATTCTTCCGGATGAAGCTACTCTCAACTATCGTCACATTGCACCAATTAATCGATGCAAAGTCTGCTTAGCGATGAGAGAGGATCTGGAGCATGCTCTTATTCACTGCTCTCATGCGCAACGATTCTGGGACGAGGCATGTGCTTGGTTTGACATCAGGCTGCCCCGACTCCATCCTGACTCATGGGCTCGCGACATCACATGTGATCCCCGTTTTTCTGATGATGACCGAGCCAAAATCACCACCGTAATGTGGTCCATATGGCACTCTCGAAATCGTAACAAGCATGGCGAAGAGGGAAGGGATCCAACATCGACAATTAGAGCGATCAAGGAGGCCCTTGCACTTCTTCAACTTCCACGTAAGGCAGCGGCTACGCTACCCGGCTATGGTTGGAGACCTCCTGATGATACTACGGTAAAAATCACGACGGACGGTGCAGTGAACTTTGCTGAGGGGAGAGGTGGCGCAGGTGGTGTCGCCCAATCCTCATCGGCTCTGTTAGGTTCTTGGTGCAAGCCATATATGGGGATTTCAGACCCCTTGATTATGGAAGCTTTATCTCTGCGAGACGGGGTCTTATTCGCCACTCTTCGAGGCATCTCGCATGTGATAATGGAAATTGACTGCGCGGAGTTAGTGACACTCTGGAACACTCGCCACAGTTCCCGTTCAATTGTGGCTCCGATTCTACTAGAAATAGGAGAGCTTAGTAATCACTTCATTTCCTTTGATATTCAGCATATTAGTAGATCAGCAAACCTATCGGCGCATCTCTGTGCTAAGCATGCTTGCACTCTGAATGTGACCGACTGCTGGATGGATGTAACTCCTAGCTTCCTAGTGACCAGCCTCATGGCTGACTGTCCTAAGAATGCTCTTATTTAAATAAAAGCTCTCTGGATTGCCCGCAAAAAAGGAGCAGACGTCGTCTCTCTGCCTCCACTGATTGCCTTGCCGCGCGTCGCGCTCTTTTACGTGCCTTTCGCTGGCCCACGCGCGGGTGCCGGTGCTGTGCAGCTGAACGTCGCTTTCGGGCCACCGGAGAGCGACGCGACTCCTCCGATGCTCCTCTGTGGGTCGCCCATGTCTGCACCTTGCTGGCCCACTCGCTGAAAACGACGGAGCGGATGGTCCTCCTTGCATTAGTAGGATTTTTTTTGATTTTGCAGTGGCTTTTATTTCAAATTAGATGATTCTCCAAGCACTGCTATGATCCAGCGGCTCCATTTATTACAAATTAACATGTTTGAACCGTGAGCCGTCCGATTTAAATAATCCAACGGATGCAATTCGTTCTTATAGGCACACTACATAGGAATATAGATATAGAAATGGTTTGTTTTCATTTCTTACTTTTTAGCACTCTCCATGCATGGGTCTGGTTCTTAGGGTGGTTTTGCACCTTCCAAGTTTTGAAAAGTAGAAAAGAATTGTGAACGCAAGGGATGCTGTAGATTGGGAACCCGTAAAATGAAAGATTATAAATTCCTAGCTTACATTTATACCGCTGTCTAAAACTATGCTAGACTTAAAAGTTAAACAATTTACAAAGTTTAAGGCTTAACAACGAAATTTTTATAGTCAGAGGCTCAATGAGACATGGTGCTTTCTCCATCTGGATTTATAAGCCCTCTTCTCATATAACATTTTCCTTAGGAGTCATTTACTAGTTTTCATAACAAAATTACCATCCACTCTGACCTTCATGTGAATAATCCTATCTTTTCCTTGTGCATAATCAACCGTCCACACTAATTCTGGGTGACATGACACTGCATATTTGTGTTTTCTCCCTATTTTTGCATTTCACAAATCCGGCGAATCAAAAAGGCCCTCGATTTTCTTACTCGGGAATCCTGAGAAAGCCCGTATGCTGCGAGGAGAGAAAAAGAAAGGAGGGAGGGAGAGAGAGAGAGAGAGAGAGAGAGAGAGATTGTGGTCCAGGTCAGCGCTGAGAGGCCGAGACCTTGAGGCATATGGTGGTGAAGGGCGGGAGCTATTTCTCGCTTATTGCGAGATGTAGCTCCAACTTGCCTCTTGCTCGAGGCTAGATGCCTATGCACGAGCGTTTTTATTTCTTTTCTGGTTTTCACAATTTTATTATTTTTTACTTTTTATTTGTGTTTTTGTTTTTTGTTTTTCAATCTTTCCTTCACTTTTTTCTTCAGGTTTCTTTTATTTTATTTTTATTTTTCCTTCATTTCAACACATATCGACATTTTTCATAAAGATTGTACACTTTTTGTATACATCAGGAACACTTTTTTAAAAAAATTAACATTTTTTTGAATGCATGATTTTTTGAAATATATCTTTGGATATCAACTTGTTTCATACACATTGTATATTTTGCGTATACATGTCAAATATTTTTATACAGTTTATTTTTTTGAAATACATCATTAAATTTTTTAAGTACCCTCACAATTGTTTTAAAAATAAATTTCTGATCATTTTTTGTGATTACGTTTAAATATTTTTTAAATAAATATTGATTTTTTTGAATGATCTGGAACTTTTTTAAATTGATAATTTTTTAAATGACACAAACATATTTTTGAAATGCATGATTTTTTATAAATTTTTATATTATTTTTGAAAGGTACGAAACAATGTTCTGAATTGCACGAACATTTTTTAACACGTTTAACTTTTTATGAAAAAAATGATTTTTCAAATATATTTTGGACGTCAACTTATTTCATACACATTGTACTTTTTTGTGTACATCTAAAATATTTTTAAACACTTTAATATTTTTTTGAAATAATCGATTAACATTTTCTTAAATACCCTCACAAAAAACATTTAAAAATAAATAAATGCTGTGACTATTTTCGCCCACGCTTTAAATATTTTTCAAATAAACATTGATTTTTGTTGAATGATATGGAACATTTACATTGATATTATTTTAATGGCACAAACATATTTTTGAAACACATGATTTTGTAAATTGTAATATTTTTTTGAATGGTATGAAACAATGTTTTGAATTGCATGAACATTTTTTTACATTTTATACCATTTTCTAATGTCACATGTTTTTTCTAAACCCATGATCTTTTTAAGGAAACAAACATTCTTTCCAAATGCTCTTAACATTTTTTGAAAATTACAGATGCAAAAGGTTAAATTGCATTTTGGCTGCGGACTAAGAGGAGGTCGAGCGCTATCTCACCGCACGCTTCGCATGTGGCGCTTGCTAAGGGTTTGGGCGGGGCGTGTGTGAGTGT